AAAAGAGAAGAAACTAAAGCCATGGGTAAGCGTTTTCCAGACACTCACAGGATTGAGTTTGGCAATGTGGAATAACTGTTTTATTCATATTAGTGCTTCTTTTGTTCTGCCCACATTTCAGAAAGCCAAAGAGCCTACCGCTTCGTCCAGGGAAAAGACTGGGGCTTCAAGAAGTTCATCAGGAGAGATTTCTTGCTGGACGAAGCTAACGGACTTCTTCCTGACGACAAGCTCACTCTATTCTGCGAGGTACCGTAACATGTCACGTTTCAAGTACACTAAATATGTTGATTTAGTAATGTTCTTGCTTCAAACCAGTGACTCATTTGTTTAGGTAAGTGTGGTCCAGGACTCTGTAAACATCTCTGGCCAGTCGAACACAAACATGCTGAAGGTTCCGGAGTGTCAGCTTTCTGACGACCTGGGTAACCTGTGGGAAGGCTCCAGGTTCACAGACTGCAGCTTGTTCGTGGGAGGGCAAGAGTTCAAAGCGCACAAATCCATACTGGCAGGTGAGCTTAGTCATCCCAACACGGCACTGACAGACGTTTGGGGTAGACCCAGATTTTGCCTTGCTAAAAAGGCGCAAGCTGCACAGACAACATTTCAGTGAAATGATAATGAGGCACATGATGAATTTGGCAGTACTTTACACACAGATGATTCACTTAAAACTGATGATTTGTGTTTCCTTTGACAGCGAGGTCGCCAGTATTCAATGCTATGTTTGAACACAAAATGGAGGAGAGTAAAAAAGTAAGTGATAAGATAAACACTACCAGTCAGAAATGGACAAACCTACTCTTGATTCTTTAGTATTACTGTTTACCACATTTTAGAATAACAGAAGTTATAATAAAATAATAATAATATTATATCTAATATTTAGTAGAATTTTCATCTATTATTATTATTATTTTAAACTAATTATTATAATTTAATAATTTATTTATATTAAGATTAATATAACCCTAACCCTAACATATATAAAAAAAATGAAAATACACGCGTGTAAAATTGCCATGTTTAAGCAACTAATATATATATATTTTTTTTTTTAAATATATATTTTCAATTTAATTCTAAATTAGATTTTCAATTCATTAGATTTTGAAATGTTTTTTTTTTTCATCCACATTACAGAACCGTGTGGACATCAGCGATGTGGAACCGGATGTTTTTAGGGAAATGATGGTATTTATTTACACCGGTAAAGCTCCTAACCTAGAGAAAATGGCCGACAACCTGTTAGCTGCTGCAGACAAGGTAACACACTCTTGCTCTGAAGGAAGAGCGCTTTTGTTTTGTGTTCGTGCTGCTGTGATTGACCTGCGGTCTGTTTTCTTCTTTCTTTTTAGTATGCTCTGGAAAGATTGAAGGTTTTATGTGAGGAGGCTCTCTGTAACAGTTTATCTGTAGAGAATGTGGCTGACATCCTCATTCTGGCTGACCTGCACAGCGCAGAGCAGCTTAAAGCACAAGCCATAGACTTCATTAATAGGCAAGAACACACACTCGGTTCATACTCATTCAAAAAAAAAATCCTTTGTATACTTTACAGTTCTTTGTTTTCTGAACATTTAAACATAATTGTAGTCATTGTACATTTTTGCTCATTTAATGACTCGCAGGTTTAATTGGGCTGTTTTGAAAGGATACATGATGGAAGAATTTAGAGCAGAAATATAATATCTATATTATAAAAATATTGGTCTCTATTAATATATAATCTCAATATTGAGGTTGAAGGGAAAATCATGTGCAATTTTTCTATGGTCACTTTGCATAAATGACTGATTAAAAGCAATGCAGACAATTATATTAATTGGAATAATTTGGCTGCTAAATATCTCATTTGTGACAGCGGTGGCTGCAGTGCATTCTGGGAGCTCTGTGTGAATTCTGCTCTGGTCTCTTTCCTCAGATGCAGTGTTCTTAGACAGCTGGGCTGTAAAGATGGGAAGAACTGGAATAGCAAGTATGTGTGCCAACATGTTACCATCTCCCAGAGTCCTCTGCAAATAAAAAGCACTAAACACATCTGTATTTTGCAGGAAGCTCCTGTTTGCAAAGTAATCATGTGACTTAAGATCTCCGTAAAACAAAATGATTCATGGCACAGCTTGTGAAGAGATTTTGTTCTTGAATTCCTTTCCATCTAAACATAAGATGGTGCCATTGTTGTTGTATGATCACGTTTTAAAGGAATGTTCTGGGCTCGATGCACTCTAAGCACTGTCAACAGTAAAGTAACTGCAAGCCTTTTTTACTGTGGTAAAATCACTTTTACACAAGGCCATGGGTAGCTTTTAAAGATAGATATTTAGATAAAAAAATAATAATAATGTATGCTCACCTAAAGCAGCATTTATTTAATCAAAAACACAGCAAAACAACATTGACAAATTTTATTAGAATTTAAAATAACTGCTTTCTATTTAAATATTTTAAAATGTAATTTATTCCTGTGATTCAACGCTGAATTTTCAGCATCATTACTCCAGTCTTCAGTGTCACATGATCCTTCAGAAATCATCATAAAACATATATATATATATATATATATGAATATATATATTCAATAATTAGATTTTTTTATTTATGTTCTCTGGATCAGTTTGCACCATTACTTTACTGTACATGTGATATTTATCTTTACAGACAACATTCCACAGATGCTGTGGATAAAGCTTAACTTGTTTTGAACCCAGAACATTCCTTTAATTAGCATGATTTCACAGAATTAATAAAAACCCCAGATAATTTTTTTTTACTAATTTCATCAGCGTGTGACGAATGGTTATATCATTTATAGATAGTAACGATTAGGCTTGTTTTTGCTCATTCGCAGTCATGCTGCAGACATAATGGAGACTGCAGGTTGGAAAGCGATGATTCAGTCCCATCCTCACTTAGTGGCCGAGGCTTTCCGGGCTCTTGCTTCAGCCCAGTGCACCCCTTTCGGTCTGCCTAGGAAACGGCTAAAACAGTCCTGACCTTTGCCCTCACAGACTGCTTGGAACAAAACGCATGAGGAAGCAACTACTCCACCGAGCCCTACTTCCCCCTTCCTCTTCACTCGCCCGTCACCCTTACCAGAGACTGGATAGAGGAGCTAGTTTAAACCACAGTGCTCAAGAAGAAATGGACTTCGCCATGCTGTTTACTCTGGACGTCATTTGAAAAATGGCCTTAAAGGATCTGCCCCTCCGCACCTTTGTGTTGCTACGTGCCTGCTGCGACTGATCCAGACCTGTCTGGATTGCACTAGCTCCCACATAATGCAGTAGTTTTAACATGGTGGTGTTTAGGACCTTATATGTTACATGTTCTTGAGGGGGAGGGTTGCATTAGCCCTTCTTGTGAACTTGTGGTCTGACATTTAAAAGAAAAAACCACGCAAAGATATTCTCCACTGACACTTTTAAAGTGATGATGTTGCCTATATTGCTGGCAGAATGTCGCATTGTATGTTTGGCATCATTAAAATTGGTGTAAGTATTAACTGAGGTCGTGCTGTAGAATACTTGGTGAAATGTGATGCAGTTCACATGAGTATTACACGAGCTCAAGACGTCGATATTTTGCACCAACTTAAACTAATGGTAAATATGAAGATTTGTTTACAGAACTTGTTTTCCCCTTTTTCGCACAGAGTTAGTTTTTACTTTAGTTGAAGTTATTTTCCATGGTTTAACGAACTCTATGGATCAGGAGAGTTCTTTGTGTTCTGAAAAAAATGTATTGTGGTTCAAAAGAACTGATTTATTGCTTTGGAAATAAAATGAAGAAAAAAAAATGTCCTGGCCTTATTGATAGTTTTTATTATTATTTTTTATTCAAACATTTTTCCTCCTGTCTGTAAGACTTAATTTTTGGCTGATGTTAGCAAACCCTCTTATTTCAACCACTCTTTTCCAACGGCCATATAATTCAGTTGTCATGACCCATAAAAAAGGCAAAAAGTAAAAATAAATCATGTTGACTTAAACATTTAAAATGTTTTTTTTTAGTAGTTCATGTTTAATGTGTTATTCAAGCAAAATGTGAAATATATATTTTCTTGGCATATATTTCAAATCAAAAGCATTTATCACATAATGCTATTGCAATTAAACTTTTTTTTATTTTTTATTATTAGCTAGAACTGAGTCAGATGTGATGTTTTACATCTTTGTCCTCAGCATTCAGATGGCAGGTGATCATATTTAAGAAAAAAGCGAACAATTATTTTAGAAGTCAGTCCCAGTTGTAATAGTTTTAGCTTGACATTTTTGGATGGAAGCTTCAGTTTATAGAATATCAGTACCTGTGTGGAGCTGTACGATCTTTAACATGCCTAAAGGTCTATCTCCAATCGACACTAGCATGTTGCAAACACTCCATATTCTTTTTGGTCTGTGGCTTCCAAAATCATTTAAATGAACTTTTATAAAACTTCTCTTCTTTTTAGTCTTCAAACATCTGGAGACGACTTAAGCTGAGATCAAAGCCAGCATGCTGCAAATCCTCAAATGCCCTGTTCATCAAGCCGTGAGATTGCACAGACTCTCACAGACATGTGTGCATTTTTCAGATCAGAGTTAGTGCGTATGATCAGACCTTTGCGAATGAAACCGTTTTTTTTTTCTGCTGATGTGAAACAATGTTATCCTCTTGTTTTCATATGGCTGAATTTACAGAGGTTAAATTGCCAAAAAACCTGTTCCGCAATGAGACTCTCCTCCAGTAGTCGGAGGGATTCTGAGGCTTTTAAGAAGATTTTGTAACAAATGTGGTACAGAGTTGACTTAAGCTTTGTCTGACTTCACAATTTTTCTTTGTTTGCAGCATCTGTGCAAGAATTTCTGAAGCTGTACACCAAATATCTGCCGACAGTCTTGGGAGTCGAAGGAAGAAAAATACACAAGGGAGCATTCTGGAAACTAAAATCGAATCTTTTCTTTAATAACAGAAACAAAATACAAAAGAACTGAGGCGCACATTATGGCTTCAACATTAATCTTAGTTATTGACAATGTTTCTGTGAACACAAAAATACGTTGGCATGAAAAGGAGGGCATCACAAATGGCTGCAATACAAGATTTTTACTTTTTTTTCTGTTCTTGAATCCCAGCTTACATATGATTTGGATATTTTAAAACATCACACTGATGACATCACAAGAGTCACGGAGAAAGGGTCAGGGGTCACTATGGAAACCACAGATGTGTTGATCATGTCCAAGCTAGGTGTGAACCACACTGTAAATCAGCCTTCGGGAAATCAGGTCTTAGCCTGGGTTAAGCATGGGTTCATCCAAAAATGAAAATTCTGTCATTTATTCACCCTCATGTTGTTTGATTGACTTTCTTCTGTGGAAAATGATGACACACATAAACTATTTCTTTTTTTGGGTGAACTATTCCTGACATCGACAGCCCTAAAGGATAAGTAAGGTAGAATCAAAAGAGTGGTTCCTCAATCTGACCTTGCTTTCATTTGTCTGGCTCTTTGTGGAACAGAACAAGGAAACTACAGGCTAGAGAGGCTGTAACAACGAGATGACACCTCAGTTACCAATCTAGGCTGTGCTATCCCACAGAGGTATACGGAGTGTCACTGTGGTAGTTGTAGTCTGGGCAGACCTTCTGTACTAGCTTGTAGTCTGCACTGAAGAAGTCAATGTAGATGCAGATGACCTTGAAGGGCTTGGAGCAAAGCCAAGACACATGGCTTTGGGTCTGTTCCTGGAAACATACCCTGTTCGGGAAGTCACTGCAAACGGACGTCCTCTTGCTACGGTCCGTCTTCTCATATTCCACTCGACAATTGAAGGCCTTATTGTCTTTAGGTACATCTATGGTTTCCTGTTGAGTGATCTCAAAATCGACAGCCTTGGAGGGCGGGACCAGGCTGACGGACACATTGCCCAGGCCGGTGGAATTGTGGCGGAAATAAACACTGAAGGTTCCATTGCCATGGTCAACAATTTTCCCAGTAATGAGAAGGTTTAGCTTGACCGTTTTGATGTTCGAATGGAAGTCGCCCCAGCCAAACATCTTTTTAAACTTGCCGGTTTTCACATAGGGACGACGTTTGGCCCTCGAGAGGGTTCCTTCGGTATCAGTGTGGTTGGATAACCAAGCCCACAGATCCAGTGCCCCAGGGTCCTGAGCAGTTTCACGGCTCTGGCTGTTCGATTGGGACGTGTGGGAGAAAAGCCGCAGGGATTTCAGAATCCCTGAATGAGAGCCGTAAGGAGAGACGCTTTCCTCCTTATCACTCTCTCCCCAACCAAGAGGGGAGACAGCTGCTCTGAGCTCTGCTCCACATGTCACCTTCAAAGACAAAACCAGGAAGGGAATTGTTAACCAAAGAGGTTGCAGATGCTAATGTATCTCAAGAAAAATAAAAAAAATCCAATCCAGTCCAGTGGACAAAAATAAAGGTTTATCCTAAAGTCAACATTAAAAGCCATTCAAAAACGACTCTACTTCCATTTTCCTGCGGGAATTTATCTATTGATAATTAACTGTATACAAATAAAAAGACTTTTTAGACACACTTTGGGATTTCTGACTTTTACACTAGTGGAATCCTTCGGAGAACTGCTAAGAAACCTTTTGAAGGTGCTTCAGATATCCCAGTGACAATATACCACACTCTAAAAAATAAAAGTTCTTTATTGGCATCTATGATTCCATGAAGAACCTTCATCATCCATGGAGTCTTTCCACAAAAGGTTCTTTATAGTGTTCACACTAAGAAAAATGTTTAATGTTTATTTTTATTTAATTGTCCACCAAAAGGTTCGTTGAGGAACCAAAAATGATTCTTCTATGGCATCGCTATGAAAACCCCCTTTTGCAAGCTTTATTTTTGTGAGTGCAATATGTTTAGAGTCCGTGCAGGAACTGATTTCCATTTTGAAGGTTCTTCATAGAACTTCCTATACCATACTGAGAAGGTAGTAGTAGAAGATTTTAGGTGAAATGAGAAGACGCTTGAGGCCCCATCCTGCCAAAACTCAGACTTAGACTCAGTGAACATATATATTAGGCTATTAAGGTTTTAAGAATTATCCAAATACCATAAACTGATGTGCATGTCCACATTCACATCTCAGAAGTAAAATTATAGATGAATAATCTACTACAGTACAACATGACTACAATCACAGTCAGCTAGCCTAGCATGTAGAAAAAAATCAAAGGAGATGCATCACTACATAAATAATCAAAACATAAAGAGGGGATGGGAAACCGAGAGCTGTATGAGAGCCCTGTTTTAAATGATGCAAACAGGATGTAACATCTCACTGCAATGCAATTTTACTACTGACTCAATAAACACTATCTACCTCAAGCCTAAGACAGTGACACCCACACAGTCACAAACCCAGCAAAACTGGTTCCTAAAACACACACATGACTCCTGCTATCATTTAGTGTAAAGTTTCATTTTAATATTACAGCCAATCAATGCGACAACTTTGTTTTGCACTGCAGTCGTGGTGAAATATGAATGAACAGAAAACAGCACAGGAAAGACCAAAGGAGGAAGATCAGGAAAGGGAGCTGCCCTACTCTCATTCTCTATCTTTCAACAAAGCTCAAAAGCCTCTAACATATACTTTCAAAGGCATCATTTGATAGAATGAAAGAGTGTATATGTCCCAAAAGGCTGTTTAGTCCCCATCTCCCCAAGTCTATCTTCAGCTTTATCCATTATTTCTCTCTCAAAAAACCAAAGGGGGTAAATATTTGGGAGACACATATAATTTGTGCTGTACACTTCACAATTCAAACCCGTGATGGTGAATGAGAAATAAAATCCAAATCTACTGTATGTTAACTTTGATTTAGTGCAAACTCATGATCCACAGAACAAAGAACTACCGACATCCTCTGCAGGTAAGGAGAGACAAGAGACGCCAAATGTGTAAAATGAAGGAGAAAATGTTACCAGAAATCACAAACAAATTAAGCGCAAAAACTAGTTAATTTTGGTCAATCATTATAAATATGTGGAAAGAATTATACTGAAGAAAAAATTACTTGAAATAAATGATTATGATGAACATTTTTATTTATTTATTTTCAAAATTATGAGATTAGGTACTTAATCTGAAGTAAATAAATTTTTTTACAGTTCAAGGATGCCAATAAATTGAGGGGAAAAAAGAACTAATAATAAAAATCTGACTTAGTGATGGCAGTGAAAGAAAAGTCTCTTGAGAGAGGACTTAAGGCTGAGCAATCACAAAGGTTGTAATTTCATTTTAAACTGGTTTCTGGGATAAAGTCTTAAATTAAACTGCGTTGGGTTTGTGAAGTCAATTCATATGCATTCAAATTAATCTTTGGAAATAAAAACACAACTACACACACACATTTTGTTCTCCTGAGAAATAAGCAAAATTGATGGATTAAGGGCTATCCGGAAACTGGATTATTCAAAGATTTACAGAGGAAATAAGTTGGGTTTGTGAAGTCAATTCATATGCATTCAAATTAATCTTTGGAAATAAAAACACAACCACACACACACATTTTGTTCTCCTGAGAAATAAGCAAAATTGATGGATTAAGGGCTATCCGGAAACTGGATTATTCAAAGATTTACAGAGGAAATAAAACAAAATGCCATGGCATAAAGGCATATTTGGATTATACAAACAATTTGGTCTCTTTACAATTAATTAATAATATAATGTATTAATGTATTATTTAGAAAATTATTCGTTTTTGAATTCATACCTACCTGTTTCTCAAATACTACACTACTTCCAAAAAATAGCACGACAGTGAAGACAACTGGTATATAGATATAAGTATTAATTGCAACAACAACTACAACAACAACAATAATAATAATACATAGTGTCTTTTTCCATCTTTCATGAATAATACACCCTGGGAGAAGAAAAGGTTAATTAACTTTGTCAAACCAAATACACATATAATAGTTTGTTTTAATTAAAACAATTTAAATAAAACTCATACCATGTGCACGCAGATCATAAGCAGGGCAGAGTAACACTGGCACATCTTCATGTGTTTTTTGAGTCCAGATCTGGCTTAGTAAAGATCAGGTCCACCTGTGGCAAGGTCTTGTGTCAGTATTCCTAAAACACAAAACCTATCATGCTCAAGACATGAGGAAATATAGGAAATTAGAACAAACAACAAATAACAAGAAATGGTCAAAAGGTACATTATTTCATGTAACGGTATAATTATGTTTGCATGTCATTGCCAACAAGTTAAAATGTATATGAATGTACACAGAAAGTAAAAAGCTATAAAACTGGTTTACTGCTTTAATTAGGCTTTTACCATTTTATTAACCTTTTAACTTTTTTGCAGACCCTGTGGTGAGACAAATAAATGTTAAAAATGACAAACACACCATGTAGTCTCTCAAATAAAATGAAGTCATAAAAACGTTAAATAAAATTAGTGTTGTTTTAAATGGAGTATAGAATGACACTGCAGGAAACTGCTTTCACAGCTTAAAAGGTCAAGTACCTGAATAAGTGCTGAGCAATATTAATGAACAAGCAATTATTTTGAGAAGAGGTTTATAGTTGTTTTTTGTTATATAAAGTCATATTACATGAAACATGGGCACCAAACTAAGTAATGCAAAAGCGTTCCCAAATAAATAAATGAATAGCAAATTATGTGTAATAATCAGTAATCAATTGTAGTATATAACTCACCCTTTTACTGTAGAGTTGAACCCATACATCTCTGTGCGGTGAGCATGCTTATAGTGTAGTTATCGGAGTGCATAAAGAGATGATGAAGACAAACATCACTCCTCGACAGTCCAAACTCAAAGTGACCAGCAATAAAAACTTCTTTGCATTTGATTAAAACAATATAATCTTCTTCTTTACTCAGCGTGGCTCATGTCCAGCTGCATTAAATCCTCTTAGCTCTGCTCATTTGGCTGCATGCCTTTCCTCTGCAACACTCACATATCCTAACACGATTATGTTTGCATGTGATTGTCCATCCAAAAGAAAAAAGAAAAAAAATAATAAAACTGCTCTCTAAGCAGTGCCCTGGGTAAAAGTCCGGTTTTGCTGCATCCTTGCCCGCTCGCTCTTCCTAAACTGATGCTGTGTGATGGATCAGTGCGCTTTTAGGTTGTGACAGTGGAGTCACTGAGCCCAACCCCTTAACATCAGCACCAATAACAGCACACATCACACTAAAGCTTTTTATGTATGTAAATCCATTTAAAACCACTAAGTGTTGAAACAGCAGAAGACTTGCCTTGAGGGCAGTTTTTATTTTTGACAAAAGTGCTATTCAGAAGCATTTTGGCTATTTTATCATCATGAGACTCTGCAAAAATAAAATACATTATGCAAATATAACACAGCAAATTTTTATATTTCCATAGTATTATATAGATATTTTTTTTTATTAAATATTGGGCTAGTTAATTGGGATAGTCTAAGATTCAGTGAATGTTTCTCAGTGTGGCTTGGTAATAAAAAGCTATTGAAAATTTAATCCACATAAAATAAAAATGAATGCACGTTTATCTTACCCTACATAGTGTGCTACTGGGGCTTCTTGTTACATTTTATGGGCTAAGTTATAATTACAGTAAGTTAAAAACAAACAAAAAAATATGTAAAAATATTCAAAAATCAAACCATTGTTTTGCCACACAAATGATACATTTGCACAAGTTTATCAAATTTAACTCATGCAACAACTTCCCCCAAACTTTATGAAAAACCACAAATTAAATCTACCTTTCATAACATAGTTGACCCTTGCCTTTATGTATACAAGTGTAGTTTTATTGTCAACAGCTAATACAAAATAATTTATATACAAAATATAATATTAGAATGTTGGCTTGGATGATAAAATTCACACAAAATAATTTGAAATACAAGAAGGTTTTACAAAAAATGTCTGAAACAAAACAGCTATTAAAATCATTTCTATAATTGATCCTTTGTCTCAAAAACCTATATACCGTCTATATATTATATTATATTTAATACATCAGCCACAACCTCAATAATTAGGTATTAGGTATAGATGTCTAATAATCATTAACAATAAAATTTGTCCATTAGTGTGTCCAAAAACAGCGATGCAATAGAAGAACAATTTTGGGTTCCCCAAAGAACCATTTTTTTCTTAGCGTGAAGAATATTTTAATAATTTGAAGAACATTGTTTTCACAAAGAACATTTCCATCATGGAACCATCAATGAAAAAATATTTATTTAATATTATATTTTTTGTTTATATTGTATATTATATATAAAATGTATATTAATATTATATATATATAGTTTATGTATTGCTGACTTTTTAAATCTAGTGTGTGATAAAAAAAAATGTCCCTGATCTACTGAAAAACAGGAAGTCATGGATTATGTACAGACTCATAGATGTCAAAACATCATGTTAAGTTAATGTGATAAAGCCTATTTTTTTTAAAGTCATATATTGTAATAATTAAAAATGGTTTAAGAAACTAAAGACTGAATATAGCGAGTGAAGATATGCAAGTTTGTTTGGAAACAGCTCCGCTCGGTGGTTATTACAGTAACTGCCGTTCAAGCCACTGTGGAGTTAACAGCATACACAAACAGATAATTTAATGCAAGACTTATTTACTCATGCAAATACTAATGTTAGAACACAAACATATGAACAATAAATACACATCAGCAGACTTTTGTCAGAGATGAGATCTCAGAATTAACAGAGATAAACTCTGAAATAAACAGAATTAGCAAAACTTGAACGACTACCAGAATTACAAAACTTCAATAAAGACTCATTTGCAGGATTCCTTAATAATCTGGTTCTGATTCTTCACCAGTGTGGCTAACATGGACATGAAGTTGGGCTTCTGTACGGCAGGTTTACCAGAGGCAGAGACTTTCTTCTGGTTCCCTCGTTTAATCTCGGGCTTCACGCTGAACAGATCTGTGGGCGTCCTGAACCCATCCGAATCCTCAGAAATCTCTTCCTGCTGCTCATTCTGGAAACCATTCTGAGCTTCTCGAATCTCTCCACGCTTGTGCTTCTGCCGAGGGCTTTTCCTCTGTTCCGTAGTTTCCACAGCAACAGTTTCAGGGGTGTCATCAAACTTCAGCACCCGCCGTGTTCCATCTATGCCATCAGACACTTCCTGCTTGTTCGATTTACCCCGGACATTAGTCGTCCTCTGTTTGCTAGAGACATTCGAGTTCTGCTTCAAATCTGCATTTAATCTTGAAATCTTGTCATCTACAAGAAGTTTGTCCTTCTGCTTCACACGGACACTAAGGTCGAGTGGATAAAGCTGCTGAGATAATGTGCTGTTCAAGGAAGGCTTCCTTTTCACAGAAAATTGCCAGCCAGCAACGGGCGGCCAGACCACAGATCGTGACCTCTTACGATGCCGTGGTTTGGCTTTGGTAATGGACAGGTTGGTCTGAACGGAGAGCAGATCCTTGCAGCGACGCAAATTCCTAAATATATGCATATAAAAAATTATTTTACTAAATATATATATGCATAATACTGGAGTATATTTCCTCTTTCTTTGAATATCACAATTTTACAGGGATAGTTCACCCAAAAATGAAAGTTCTGTCATTAATTACTCACCCTCATGTTGTTCCAAACCCGTAAGACCTTTGTTCATCTTCGGAACACAAATTAAGATATTTTTGATTAAATGTCAGAGCTCTCAGACCCTGCATAGATAGCAACGCAACTGTAATGTTTCCAGGTCCGTAGTAAGGACATCAGTAAAATAGTTCATGTGACATCAGTGGCTCAACTACGAGAAAACTTTTTGAGCGCAAAGAAAACAAAAATAACAATTCAACAATTCTTCACCCCCGAGTTACGTCTTCTGCCATCTTAGAGTATCACAACACATACGCACACTTTCCCCCAAGCATAAACAACGCTGATTACGCAGATTACGTTCATGCGCGCGCTTTCTCCTCCGAAAGTAAACAACGCTGATTACATTGATTACGCTCTTGGGTACTCTCCAAAATGGCAGTAGTAGTAACTCAGGGGAGAAGTATTGTTAAATAAATTGCAACGCAACTGTAATGTTTCCAGGTCCGTAGTAAGGACATCAGTAAAATAGTTCATGTGACATCAGTGGCTCAACTACGAGAAAACTTTTTGAGCGCAAAGAAAACAAAAATAACAATTCAACAATTCTTCACCCCCGAGTTACGTCTTCTGCCATCTTAGAGTATCACAACACATACGCACACTTTCCCCCAAGCATAAACAACGCTGATTACGCAGATTACATTCATGCGCGCGCTTTCTCCTCCGAAAGTAAACAACGCTGATTACATTGATTACGCTCTTGGGTACTCTCCAAAATGGCAGAAGTAGTAACTCGGGGGAGAAGTATTGTTAAATAAATTGTGTTATTTTTGTTTTCTTTGCGCTCAAAAAGTATTCTCGTAGCTTCGCAAAACTGAAGTTGAGCCACTGATGTCACATGGACTATTTTACTGATGTCCTTACTACGTTTCTGGACCTGGGAACATTACAGATGTGTTGCTGTCTACACAGGGTCTGAGAGCTCTCACATTTCATAAAAAATATCTTAATTTGTGTTCCGAAGATGAACGAAGGTCTTACGGGTTTGGAACAACATGAGGGTGAGTAATTAATGACAGAATTTTCATTTTGGGGTGAACTAACCCTTTAAGATACATTGTGCTAATATAAAAACAGTTGTTTGTCATTTTTAGTCACTTTGCGAACTCTAAATCAAACTGAAATGAGAAATTGTTGGAATGTGCACAGACAGTTAAAGTGATGCGCTTGTGGACCCTGATATGCAGCTCACTTGATTTTCACAATTTGCCAGTATAATGAGCAGCAGCATCTTCAGTGTCCGATAGAAATAATAGCTACAGAATTTAATCAAACCACCTTGCAAAGGCACTCATGAATATAATAAAACAAATTACTACAGAAATATAACACTATTTTGTTCTACTTATGTACACTACAGTTAAAAATTCATAGTCAATAAGATTTCATTTTTTTAAGAAACGTGACAGTACAGACATTGATAATGTTACAAATAATTTTTCTATTTTAAATTATTCTGAATGCTATTATTTGACATTTCTATCCATCAAAGAATCCTAAACAAATGTATTGCAGTATCCACACAAAAAATTTTTTTCAACAACACAAAGAGCAATGTGTAACATTTTACCAGATTTAGTCCTACACTTATTCACTTTTATTTGTTCCCCACTAAACAATGTTTTCATCAAATGTTTAGAGTTCAAAACTTGTGCACTCATGATTTTTCTAGAGTAACTTTTGCTGCTGAATTATCCACTAACCTAGTTTGTAATAGTATTTTTGACAGACTGGTTATATATATATTTTTTTTCATTTGTTATGTGTTGTTATGTTATGTTTAATTTTATGGACCTGAAACCTAACCTTCCCAACCCTTGTGACCAACGCCCAATAGGCTAATTTCTTAGAAGGGAACAAAACGAAGCCAATAGGAGCATAGTCTAACAAACTTTATTAAGCTATAACCATCGTAACAATATCTTTACTTAACCAAACAAATAGATTTTGGAGGGAATGCAATGCCAGACCAGGATTATCAAGCTAGTAGCTTGATCCGCTGGCCTGGACCAAGTCAAGAGCGAAAACTTCGTATTCCTCAAACTAAAAGAATACTAGGTCAAATCAGGCGACAATTTTAAGGGACAGTTTCCCCTCAGAAAAACAACCTCCCAGCCCGAATAAGAATTCATCCATTCTCAAAAAATATGCCCTGGCCCGTGCCTTTCCTCGACCTCCCTACTTCAAACCACACAGTCTGGCGAGACTGAGACAGTGATGGGGGGAGATCGTTGTATTCTCAAAAAAACTAAACAAAAAACACACACAAAATGAATGGAAAACAGACAAAAATAGACCACCATCGATGAAGTGGACAAAAACAAAGTCTTAGCCTGTTTTCAACCCCGTTATGGAGTAATGCTGCCTTCACATGTTATCGGAAATGTCCTACTGAAGTTGTAATTACGAGTTTGTCGTGTTCAAGTGTTGTTGTCAGAAAGAACAGAAATCATGGTGGACAGCCTATTCATTATTGCCTGTTTCTTGGGGAAATCTTATTAAAGCCAAAAGGTATTGATTCTAAGATATTTAGTCAATATCCAACAGGTTTTGAATAACATGTAGCGCCCCATTCATTGGTAATCATATAAACATTCACAGCACTATCTAGATATTCAGCTGGATGTCGATTCCTAAATTTTGGTCAAATAAATGCTATTTTCACTGTGTTCAATACATACAATAAGCATAAATAAATGGTTATTTATACATTTAAATATACATGACTGTAATGGCAGGAGAAAGCAATAAAGATGTTGTGAGAAAAACGAATAAATCTTTACAGTACTACTGCTGTGTTTCTCTCCTCCGCCACATTTCAATTTTATGGCTCGCCCAACTCGGAAACTTGGGTTTCAAAATTATCCCAGAGTTTCCCCAGTTGTAAATATGACTAGAGAGGCTGTTCATGTCTAATTTCTGACTAGCAAACTCATATTTACAATAATTCCGATAGCACGTAAAAGCAGCATTAATTCTGAAAATGAATGACACTGGCTCACCTCTGCTGAAACACATGAGGTCTGGAGCAGTTTGCTTGAATTCTGTTGACGACTGCAGAATCAGAGCCTCCTGCTAACAGCTTCCTGATACGACTCAGGCTTGTCCACAATAATCTGAAGATCAACATTCACATAATTCACATCCAACCTAATTAACATATGATTATTAAAGCAGTAATTCACCGCTGGCAAGATTGGCTTGTAATAAAACTTGGCTATCTATGCAGTAAAAAGGGTACTCATGTTGTGCTCCAGTCATTTTGACCCAGAGAGGATTTTCTTTTTCATGAAAATGCTAATATTATCATATTGGACTAAAACTTTTTGTGATTTTTCTTCCCCATCTTGTTACACTTGTGGTGTTCTCGGTCAAAAATGACTGGCGATGGTGATGATCAAGTAAAATGAGATTTACAAGCAATTTTTAAAAGGCTGTTCATTTTTAACCAGGAACACCAAATTAGGTAAAGCATTTTCAGCACAGCACAATGGTTAAAATCAGTGCCACATTACTATAGAAAACCGAGAAATATGGTTTCTGAAATTTCCTCATATTGCCAAAAAGGTAGGAAAACTTCAACAATGTTGTCCTTTAAGACTCTTCGGACATTTCTTGACCATTCTTTATACTGTAAATCAGGGTTCCTCAATAGGCGGCCCGCGAGAGAAAAAAGTTTGGCCCGTGCTAATTTCAAATAATGTGGCCTGAAAATTCAAACGCAGTATCAGAAAGCTACATTAACTTACATCGTGTCTACACCGGACGCGAGCGGTGCGGCGTGCGACGCAATAAAATACAAGAACTCGTTATAATCAGTGATGCTGTCTTACTGTAAACTGTTGACTAGTTCTATTTATAACATACTGACACAATGTTCAAATAATTTACAATGCTTTGTCACGTCCAGTGTACATACGATGTGACAGCAAAACATGTCAAGTGTGTAGAAAAGAAAAGTGGACACGGAAAATAGAATGACTGGAATGGACTGAACAGTTTTGAGTGAGTGAGTGAGTGACTGATATCTTTGTTATGGAATACACGTGTTGGTTCGCAGTGAGTTCAGTTTTAACGTACAAGTTTGCTTTAATTTATTTTCAAGATCTGAGGTAAAATATCTATTGTTGCTTTCACTATGGCTTTAAAGATAACGCAAAATAATATTCAAACTCACATTAGACACTTTTAACATTGAATAAAGCACATAATCATTCCCTGAGATTAGGCCTATCACTGTCATATTTTGTAGCTATGTTGTTCCTGCTGCGACGTCGCAGAAAATAAAAACCGTTCCTAAAATAGAATCCCATGTTGCTTATTGTCACGTGTAGCTGTCGCGGATGGTTAGGACAAAAACTACAAGGAAAAGATACTTTTTATCGCATCGTGTCTGGTTGGGACACACGGTGTTACAGTTTGATCCCCCC